CGTGAACGCGCGAGCGAACGCGCGGACGCCGACGCGAACGGACGGCTGGACGTCGAGCGCGTGAACGATGCGATCGATGCGTGAGGGTTCTGCGGTGGCGCGGGTCGGCGCGGTGCGGGCGCGAAGAGGGGCGCGGCGCGCGAGCGCGCGGTCGAGGAGCGAGCGCGGACGCGTCGTTGGACGCGCGATGCCGGTGGGGACGCCGATTCGGTGTGAAAATCACTTTCTTCACCTGGACGATTACACCAAGGAGGAGGTGCAGGAGCTCATTGATATCGCGTCGAGCGAGAAGAAGCGTCTGCAGAGCGGTGATCGAAGCTATCGCCCATTCGAGGGGAAGACGCTGGCGATGATATTCGCGAAGCAGTCGCTGCGAACGCGGGTGAGCTTCGAGACGGGGTTCTCGTTGCTCGGTGGAAACGCGGTTTATTTGGGACCGGATGACATTTCCATCGGTAAGCGCGAGGCGACGAAGGACATCTCGCGCGTGCTGTCGAGGTACAATGACATCATTATGGCCCGGTTGTTCTCGCATAACGACATCGTCGAGTTAGCCGAATACTCTAGCGTGCCCGTGGTGAACGGGTTGACGGACTACAACCATCCGTGCCAGATTTTGGCCGACGCGTTGACTATTTATGAGTGCCTCGGGCGACTCGAAAACGTCAAAATCGTGTACGTCGGTGACGGTAACAACATCGTGCACTCGTGGCTAAACCTGGCGGCGGTGTTCCCGATTCATTTCGTGTGCGTGTGCCCCGAGGAGTACACCCCCGACGAGGCGACGCTCAAGAAGGCGATCGACGCCGGCATCTCCACCATCGAAATCTCCCACGATCCGGACGAGGGCGTCAAGGGTGCTGACGTCATCTACTCCGACGTTTGGGCCTCGATGGGTCAAAAACACGAGGCCGAGCAGCGTAAAAAGGATTTCCAAGGCTATCAAGTCGACGCTGAGATGATGGCCGCGACGCCGAACGCCATCTTCATGCACTGCCTTCCCGCCGAGCGCGGCTTGGAGTGCACCGACGAAGTTCTCGAGGCCCCGTACTCCGTCGTCTTCCAACAAGCCGAGAACCGCATGCACGCCCAAAACGCCGTCATGCTCAAACTCCTCGGCTGCAAGTGATCGCCCGACGATGTCTCGTTAAAAAGTCCTAAACACTAAAACCAGCGTAGCACGATGTAGCGCCTTTGAGAACTTCCGGCGAGCGTCGCCTCACACCGCACCGCCTGAACGCGCGCGATGTCCGACAAATCGACCGAGGAGCTCACGGACCTCCTCTCGCGCGTCACCGAGGTGCGCGTGCGCCCGCGCGCGCGACGAAACGCACGCACGAAGGCGCTCCGTTTCCATCCGTGACGAAAATGTACGCTCGACTGACGGCGCCCTTCTCTCGCGCCACAGGCGGCGAAGCGCGAGCGCGCGCTCGGATCGGCCATGCTCGAGTACGACGCGCAGTACGCTGAGCTCCAAGACGTCGTGCGGTCGGTCAAAGAGCGCGAGACGCACGCGGTCATGGTGCCGTGCACAAAGTTTGGAATGTTCGAGGGCGAGCTCGCGGGCGGCGGCGACGCGGAGCTCTTGGTGGGCATCGGACAGGATTACCTCGTCGAGCGCGACGTGGACGGCGCGGTGGAAATCATCGAAAGAAGACGGGATTTGCTCAGGACGAAGGCGGCGGACGCGGAGCGGAACGCGATGTTGATGGAGTCGAGGGCGCGCATGGCGGAGACGTTGGATCGAAGCGGCGGCGGTTTGGGGACGATTGGGGAGGACGAACCGCTCGTCGAGGACGGTCGAGCGCGAATCGCGAAGCGGAAGGACGGTATCGTGGAGATAACCGAGGTGTACGAGGCGAACGATGACGAGATCGCATCGATATCGACCTTGGCGCCGAGCTCGCAGAACGACCGCGTGGACGCGGGCGCGGCGCGAGGTGACTTGGACGATTTCATCGCACGTTTGGAGGCGATGGAGATGAAGGACGATTCCGCCGTCGCGAGCTCTTCAGCGCCGGCCGATGACGATGCGGATAATGAGTTTGACCCCGAGGAGGACGGGGGCGAACCGCCCACCATCGAGTGTCCGGAGGATTTCCCAAAGTACGAGCGATGGAAAGCCAAGAGAGACGCGAAGGATAAGGAGTTGAGGGCGGCGGCTGAGCGCTCGCGAGCGCGTGCAGAGACAGAGCGTTCGAGAAATGAGGCCGAGATCAGGAGGAAGAACCCACCGCTCAGAGAAACCGTCATAGAGAGGAAACCTGGAGAGCGCAGCCGCTTCTCGGAGGAACCGATCGTCGACGTGAACCGGAAACTCTCGCGGTATCAAATGAAAAAGTTAGGTTTGCTAGAATAATGTCACAACGGACAACAATAGAACTACTAGTTGTACAGTATACACCTACTCGAAGCGATCAAACTGCCTCGCGTCGACGACCTCATCGAGCTTGACGAACGAAAACGTCTTGGTCAGCGCCTCAGTCTGGTCGATCCGCGCGTCCTCCGCCTCGTCCTCGATCGGGGCGCAAAACTCTGGAAGTAATCTTTCCTTCGCCGCGAGTTTGGACCCTAGGGCGTGCCTCTTTACAAACGCCGCCGCGTGCGCCCCCGCGGGTGAATTCAAGAACTCATCCGTCCCTCTGCAGTCGTGCGACGCAAAGTCTGGAAAAGCAGCCGCCTCCTCCATGACGCCATTCTCGATAATCATCGACTTTATCCACGACTTTTTCGTCTTCACCACCGACCACATCTCGCGATTCATTCGCATCTCCGTCGTGAGCCACTTCGACGTCTCTTCACTCAGCAATTCATCGAAAGTCTCTGCGAGCGACCCGCCGCCGCCCTTTCCGCTCGGCCCCTTGACGAAGCGTAACTTTTGCACCGTCACCGGATCTACGAACGCGGTGAGCATCTTGTACAGCCCGTTGAACAGCTTCGGCGCCTCGACGAAGATCATCATCTCCAAACGCTCCGGATACGATCTCGCGAAGAGTGACAGACACTTCATCGCCGTGTTCGGGTTCATGCTTCCCGCGCCGAGTTTATGAAAGTCGCACACCCACACGTACTGATCGTACGGATATTCGGGCAAGAACCTCTCCAAGAGCTCCAAAACCTGCACACAGTGCTCGACGTTACTCGCCGGTTTTCCATCGAGCGCCAAACCGATGTCCGAGTACACCACCGCGCGTCCGCACGCGTCGAAGCCAATCTGTTGCATGTAATGACTCCCAAAGTCGCCCTCGAAGCATCGCTCGCATCGCGTCTCCTCCGGTTTCGCCCCGTCGCGCCATCGCACCGTCCGTCGCAATCGTTTCGTCGCCTTGACCACGTCTCCCTTATCCGCGCGCACGAACCGCTCCACCGTGCGCCTGTCGCACCACCGTCGCGCGCCGTCGCCGCACGTCGCCAAGTCACCCGCGAGCGCATCGAACACCGCGTCGACGTCCGTCGACGCGATCGCGCGCGCCATTCGATCGCGACGCGGCTTCGTCGTCACCGCCGTCGACGCGCGCGCGCCGTCGCGCGCGCCCATGGTCGTCGACGCGGCGCCGCGCGCGTCGCGCGCGCGTCGGGGACTCGCGCGGGCGCACCGCGTGGCGTCGGTCGCGGTACATCGCTCTCCAATACGCGCCGTGTGTCCGAACGTGCGTATATCGGTGTCGCACCACGCCGCGGCCCATGGGTGATAAAAACTAATGTCGGACACACGGTGTGTACTGGAGAGAGATCTACGCTTGACGCGAGGGACGAATAGGGACGCCACACATCCCGCGACGAATCGCGCGCAGGGGTCTCCAGGGTGCGCGCGCGCGCGTCCCGCACTCACTCGCACCCCATGTCCGCCGCCGTTCAGGTGCGCGCGCGCGCGCCGTGGCGTGAACAATGCGCGCGACGCGCGTTCGATCGCGCGCGGCGTCCACGGCGACGGCGATCGAACGCGCGTCGACGACGACCGCGAACGATGGGCGATCGTGGATAATCGCGCTGGCGCGACACCCTCGGGACGAAGGCGCGGGCGGCGAGGGGTGACGACGACCGCGAACGCGCGACTGACGATGGACGCGCGTGGGCGAATATGCAGACCGTCGAACTCACCGCCCGCACCGCGATCGCGGGCAACTTCCGCAAGGCCACGACGCCGCGCGCCGCTGCCAAGGTGCGCGTGTGCGCCATCGATCGCGATCGAGCGCGCGTGCGACGCGCGCGTGGTGCGCGGAGACTGACGAACGCGACGGCGTGCGTGACGCAGGCGAACGTGAACGTCGTCACCGAGGCCAAGGTTAAGGTTGCCATCAACGGTTTCGGCCGCATCGGTGCGTGTGGCGAGCGGAAAACGCGCGCGTGGACGATCGATCGCGTCAGATAAGGGTGATGGCGTTGTTTATCCAAACGATGGTGGCGCGCGCGTCGACGACGCGCGCGTCGTGACGATGGATGCGTTGATGCGTCGTAAATTCTTTCGTCGGATGCGTCGCTCGACGGGCGCGTCACCCGTCGCTACGGTCGTCGCAGCGGGGGCGTTGGCGACGACGCTCGAGGCCACGTCATGCGCAACCCTGGTTGTTGGGATATTTGACTGACCTCGGATACTTCTTGTTTTTCCCACGCAAACAGGCCGTAACTTCGTCCGCTGCTGGAAGACCCGCGGCCCGGACTGCCCGCTCCAAGTCGTGTGCGTGAACCAATCCGGTGGCGCCAAGCCGGCGGCGCACTTGCTCAAGTATGACTCCATCTTGGGCACGTTCAAGTCGGATGTCAAGGTGATTGACGACTCGACCATCTCTGTCGACGGTGACGTCATTAAGGTTGTCTCCGACCGTGACCCGCTCAACCTTCCGTGGAAGGAAATGGGCATCGACATCGTCATCGAAGGTACCGGTGTCTTCCTCGACGGTCCGGGCGCGGGTAAGCACATCACCGCCGGCGCGAAGAAGGTTGTCATCACCGCTCCGGCGAAGGGCAACGACATCCCGACCTACGTCGTCGGTGTCAACGCCGACCAATTTGACCCGAGCGCCAACATCGTGTCCAACGCGTCGTGCACCACGAACTGCTTGGCGCCGTTCGCCAAGGTTATCGACGACAAGTTCGGCATCGTCAAGGGTACCATGACCACCACCCACTCCTACACCGGTGACCAGCGCATCCTCGATGCGTCCCACCGTGACTTGCGCCGTGCCCGTGCCGCCGCCTTGAACATTGTGCCGACCTCCACCGGTGCCGCCAAGGCTGTCGCGCTGGTGTTGCCGCAACTCAAGGGCAAGCTCAACGGCATTGCGCTCCGCGTGCCAACCCCGAACGTCTCCATCGTCGACCTCGTCGTCAACGTCGAGAAGAAGGGTGTCACTGCCGAAGAGGTCAACGCTGCCTTCAAGGAATACGCCGACGGCCCGATGAAGGGCGTGCTCGCGATCACCGACACGCCGCTCGTGTCCGTTGACTTCCGATGCACCGACGTCTCCACGACCATTGACGCCGCGCTCACCATGGTTATGGGTGACGACATGGTCAAGGTTGTCGCCTGGTACGACAACGAGTGGGGCTACACCCAACGTGTGGTTGACCTCACCCTCATCGTCGCCAACAGCCTCATCAACGAAGGCAGCGTGACCCTCGACCCGCTCGATCAGCTCTGCTCCGACGACCCCTCGGCGGATGAGTGCAAGGTGTTCGACAGCTAAATTCGACGTGCAGGCAGTGCTTTCAGTGGGGAACCCCCATTTCCCACGAATAACGAGTATTAACACTTACTGTAATCACAGTGTCTAGAGACAGATTTGATCCCCTCCCTTAATCTCCCCTCTCGCGTTGCGATGAAAGCGCCGCCCGCTCCACGTGAAACCTACGAATGAGGGACGTGCGGGCATACAGTATTGTGTATTGCTGCGATTAAATCGTCAATTCGATATTACACTACTCAACGAGTGAATCGGTTCTTGCGTCTTCAGCTGCTCGTGTGCGTTCGTTTCTCATAAAGCTGGATTGGAATCTGGAAAGCCTCCTCCTTCCGTACTACCGCCGACAATGGCGCTGAGCTTTTGCGTGAGAAGATAATTTGCCATCTGCACCCCTTCCTGCGATCCGGTGATGACAACCTTTCTGTTCCTCGTACCCTCAAAGAAGTCATCGCGAGCGCTCACTTTGATTCGACACCCGCTTGCTACCTGTACCTCCGCGATCGTGCGCCCCCCGCGACCGAGCACGGCGCCGATGAGCGAGTCTGGAATCGTGACGAGTATTGATGTTTCATCATCACCCCCGCGGCGACTGCTCCCAGAGACGGAACGACCATGGTCGCCACTTCGTCGCCCCCCACCGATGCGCGCCCCAAGCGGCGCCTGAACGCTGTACGTGCTCTGACGGTGCACGAGCGTCGCGTACGAGGGATCCTCGCAGAGCGTCGTCGCCACGAGCGCCACCGCGCGCAACACGCTATCCATCGCCCCCGTGATCGTCAGCGTGCGATCGTTACATCCCGGCAGCATTCGATCCTGATTACTCAGCTTGATATCCGCCTGCGAATCCTCGACGAAATTTCGAATCTTCGACCCGCCTTTTCCGATGACGCACCCGCAGCACCCGTTGGGCACCACCAGCGCGAGCTGCGGCGTCCCCGAGCGATCGATCCCCTCTCCGTCCGCCACGAGTTTGGTCAATATCAGGTACAGCACCTGTAAGATCGCGTTCAAATCACCGCTCACGATCACCACCCGATCATTCGTTCCCGGGAACACCTCGCGACTCCTCGAGAGTTGTACCCGCGCCCCCGTGAGCGCCTGGAACTCGTTAATCGTCGCCCCCCCCTTCCCGATCACGCTCCCCGCCGCGCTCGGAGAGATGAGAAACTTTAGCGTGAACGCATCGTCGACGATCGCGTCGGCGTCGTCCGCGCCGGCGTCGCGCGCGGCGTCGGCGTCGGCGTCGGCGTCGGCGTTCGCACCCATCGCCTCGTCCACGGCGCGCACCTCCGCCATAGCTCGCGTCGCGCTCGCGCCGCGATCGTCCGCGCGAACGCGCGCGCGCGGTGAAGCGAAATAAAACGCGACGGGCGCGCGATGGGACGACGCGTCGGCGACGCGCGCGCGCGCGTGCGAGGGCGATGACGATCGCGCGTCGGCTCGACACTGCCGCGTCAGCACCGCCGGCGGCGTGGGGGTATTTATAGCGCGCGATCGCCCTTTGTGGGCGTGTGCATGGTATGTGTGCGCGTCCATCATCGCGCGTGACGTCTAAACCCTACGTACACCGCCATCGACGCGTCCGCGCCCGCGCCACGACCGCGCGCGCGGTGGCGCGGGCGACCGCGGGCGCGCATGCCGGCCCCGGCGTCGTCCGCGTCCGCGTCGGCGCGCGCGAAGACGTCGGGCGCGCGTGGGGGCGTGGTGAAGCGAAGCGCACCGTCGCCGGGTGGCTTGCTCGCGACGATCCTCGGTGACGTGAAGCGCTCGAACGCGGCGCGGGCGAAGGCGACGGCGCTGTCGGGAGGGAAGAAGATCGACAGGGACGATGTGCTCGATCGAGAGTCCAGGGCGCACGAGGCGAGGAAGAGGTTTGAGCGCGAGACGCGAGAGCGGTTGGCGCGGGAGGTGGCGGCGAGCGCGAACGCGCGCGCGTTCGCCGAGTTTGAAAAGCTGGAAAAGCAATGGCGGAACGTCGTGCACGAGATCGCGGCGGAGATGAAATTGTTTTCGGAGAGCGTGGAGATTGGGGAGGAGGAGGAGAAGCTGGTGATTGTGTACAAGACGGATCCGGAGCTCGCGCGCGGCGGAGGTGGCGCGCGAGGAGACGGGGAGAAGAGCGTCGAGAAAGCTGCCACGGGACTGAAGAGGGGGGAGGCATTGAGCGATAAGGCGCCGCAGTTCGCGAGCGATGATGTGGAGCTCACCGTCGTCGGGACGGTGAAGCGGGACTTGCGTTCGGTGGAGGAGACAATTTTGGACATGAAGAAGGCAAAGGAGGCTAGGCCGGAGTAGAAGATTTGAAACGAAGTGAAATTCTAGATAACAACCAGTTCATAGTTCATCTTTCACCGTCGGTTCGGATGCGCGCCAACCGTGCTCTACGACCTCCGTGAACGCGCGAACCTCAGCGTCGAGTTCGGGCCATTCGGCGACGATGCGACGAGCGCCCTCAAGCTTTGGCTCCTTCGTCAGCGGATTATTGCACAGATCGATCGTCTTCGCAGCCGCTTTCGTCTCGTTACCGCACCACGATTCGCACCACAGCCAGGGCATGGGGAGGGAAAAGATCGGGACGTCGTGCTGGGCGTAATTTGGCAAGTCTTGATCGAGATTCGCCAACGACCCCGGATCGCGCGAGAGCGAATCGTACATCACTCTCAGCCTATCTCCCGCAGCAACGGCACGGAAACGATCCAAATCGACCACATAAAGTGCGCTAATGTGGTAAGGCTTCCCTCTGAGATGAGTCTGCCAGAATCCTTGCTTCCAGAATCGGAACCCCTCCATCTCTTTGTTATTGTCGCACATCGGCGTGTACCCGTACGGCGCACCGTGGAGGTTCATGTTCCAAAGCTCGCTCATGTCCGCGCGAACTATTTGGTCCGCGTCGACGAATATTACTTTATTAAGCTCGAGCGGGAACAGGACGTCCAAGAAGAGAATTTTATACGCCCAGATAATCCTTTGTTTCTCCGTCTGTTTGTTCAACCACGTGGGCCACTTGTAGCTCACGAGCTCGTACTCAAAGTCGTACTTCTCAGCCATGTGCGGCAGGAAGTCCTTGAACGATGGGGAAAGCCAGTTTTTGATGAACCAGAACTTCACAGGATTCTTGGTCGAACGCTTCACTGAAGCCATCATGATTTTGAGGAATCTCTCATACAGGTGACCCGAGGCAACACTAAAAATGTGAATACGCTCGTTGCTCTTCTTCTTGAGCACTTTTGAGAGCCATCCCGAAGGAGACGTAGAAGAGAGCCCGGCGTCTAATACGTCCGCCGTTTCCATACCTGCACGTCGTTTCAGTGAAATATCGAGACGGAGTCCAGCGAACGAATCAACTAAGACATCGATAGAGAGTTCGTCATCAGAAACGCGCAATTTTTCTGAGTCGGCGACGAGAAGGTCGTGGACTTCCTTGAAGGCGAAGATATCTGCCGACGCACCGGCACGTAGAGATAACCTATGCCGTCCCGGTGAAGAGGGAAGCTGGAAGTAGCCAAGATTAGACATGACGATGGTGCCCGGATTCACCGCCGTGTTCTTGTCCTCGAGAATGAGTTGTGTCCCGCGAGCCGGTGTTTGGTCTTTGTCGACGTCACTCACGTGACCGGTGATGAGAATCGACTCAAGTCTATACTCTGCACTCACTACCTTCTCCTTTATGTCTTTGAGTATGAGATTGTCCAGGTCATACTTCGCCTTGTGCGTCGTGACCATCCAAGGCTCTGGGAAATCGACATGCGTCGTCAACGTCTTGTGAGTAGGCACGTTAGTGATCACCACGAGAGGATCAGCATCAAGCGTTGCAGGTGGCAAAGCGTAGCGATAATATGACTTCAACGGTAGGTCTTGTAAAGCCGCCCTGGGATTGAGTACGACCCGAATCGTCACCTCATCGGGTAACCGGTCTCGTAAAAGAGCGAGCACCGGCGCCACGCGCTGCGCTTCTTTGCTCAAAGGATCGAGAACTGCCTCTATCTGAACGATTGTACCCGTGCCCGCCACGAAAGCCGTACTTTTCGCCTGAGCGATGAGCTTGTCCAGACTCTCTACCGTACGCTTGTTGGATGCTTTCTTTTGCTTAACAGCTACAAGCGCGGCGGCGTCAGAGATCGCCTGAGAAAGCAACTTGGGCTCGATGATAGGCTCAGATTTACCGAGCATTTCCGTCGAGACAACGTCGAAAATATACGTCGACCGTTGCGCCATTTCAACTTCTACCAACGCATCGATGTCAGTGACATCTATCGTGCACTTTCTCTCTGTGAGATCGAGTACTCTGCCATTTGCGACGATGGCGCAGTGTGAATTCATTCTATGATACGATAAGAATCGTTTGCTGTGCTGCACCACGTCAACCATGAGCTTCTCGTCGTTCGAGACTCGGTTGAAGTCATCCGCATTCAGTCCCACTCGTTCAGCGATCTCCTCTGCGGATGCTTCGCGCGATGAGAGAAGCTCTTCAAGAAATTTGGCGATCTTCGTCCTGCGCGTGGGGACATGTAATGCGGCTTGGATGGCGCGAGCACGCTCACCGAGAACATTCACGCCCGAGTGCACGACCGTGACTCTTGAATTCCTTCCAGCGTGTGACGATACGTGGGACACCGCCGCCGCGATCATTGCTGCTCCTAAATCTGTATCACCGTCGGCAACGACCACCAGCGACATCGCCTTCACTACGTCAATATCTCCGTGTTGAACGTACTCGAGTGCGTCGATCGATGCAAAGGGAATCGGTGCGTGATAAACAGGAGGAAACTTCTGCGTATCTACGATCCACGGCACATACTTCGTCGTGGCGCCCTGTTGCACAAACTCGGCCATGTTCTTGGTGGCCTCTGTCAACTCGTCTGTGAAGGCAAGGCGCTGCATCCTCGACATCTCCTGGCGCAAACTGTGAACGATGAGCTGGTCGAGCGTCGCTTGGCCTCTGAAGGCCATCATTTCATCTCCGTACTCTCCGTTCAATAAGAAGGACTGAGTCGTCAAACCTTTGCCCAACACGTGAGCACGAACGGCGTCCACATATTTATCCGCCTTTGGTGAGTCCGATGACTCAAACTCGTCGAACAGTTCGTCTGCTTCAAATTCGCTATCGTCGGCATACTTGTTCAGTGTTTTAACAAATGCTGCGCGAGCCATGGACACGGATGGTGGATAGTACATCGGCGGTGCCCACGGTGAAGAATCCTGGTGTGGACGACGACTAGCAGCAATAGCCGCTAAGAACTCGTGCTGAGCAACTGCTCCGTACTGCTGCAAAATGTAGTTAGCCGCTCGCATCACAGGCTCTCCCACGTCCGGGTACACCCTTTCACCAAGGACCTTGAGTTCCGGATCTTCGTTACCCAATTTCGTGACTACTACTTGAGCCATTCGTACCGGGACAGTGCTCTGTTGAAAATGAGCCATCATGCCGATGACATCCCACGTCGACGGCTTAGACGGATCGAGGAAGACGGCAAGATTGTACATGTTGTACTTCACCCTGTGGAATCCTCCTTGCGCTTGGAAACGTAGCTGGCCAAGGTTCTTGCTCCAACGTTTGTACTTCAAGTCCTTCTCCACGTCGTTGAAAAAAATGATGGAGTCGCTCGTCATGTTCACCTTCACACTAGCACCGGATCTGCCAGGCAACCGAAGAAGCCGTGAAACGGCAGATTCCGACAGACCGAGTCGGCTCAACGTTTGCGAGTGCTGGATTTCTTTCGAAATGATATCCGTTAGGGTGTAAATGTCGATGGTGTCCAGCTCGAGGTTTTCTCCGTTGAGTGACATCACGAGCCCACCTGGGTAAACCATCTTGTGGTTTCCCTTCACCTCGTTCACAAGTGTGGAGTTCAGTTTCATTCGCGAGAGCCCGTTCGCGAGAGATGGGAAATTTTGAGAGAGTTCCACCAATTCCCGGAGTGGGTCGTCTGCGAGCGCGATGCGCTGTGTCGCTTGAAGACCCAAATTACCGATATCCCACAATTTTAACGGCGCGTCTGAACTTAATTGCGCCTTACCCACAAGTTCATCTCGGAAGGAACGCAGTCCTTCGACGTGATCCGGATATGTCTCGCTCAGCTTGGCGAAATTGAAACCGAGTACGCTCTCATCCTTGAGCTCCGCGCCAGGCGACACCGTTGTCGCCTCATCGTCACTCCCGTCTTCGCTTTCACCACCATCGGTTTTGACTTTGCTATCATCAATGGCCTTGTATTCCATATTTTTCACCGCAAGCTCCACACCGAACCCCGCAAGACGGAGGTTATCCCCGGTCTGGCCGAGCGCCGCGCACCCATCATCCCGAGCGCACCCGTCGAAGAGCGTCGGCCTCAACACGTAATTCAACCGCCCTGCGTCGCTCGCGCCCGCTAAAATCTCGTGCATTTGCGCGAAACAAGTGGTTCCCGGCGCCGCGTACGCGATCGCCGTAGAAATATTGACGTTCTCATCCCTCCAAAACGCGTCGCGCGGCTCCGCTCGCCGTCCCCTCGCGCCCTCCGTCGTTCCGCCCTCGATCGCTCGACCTAACGCCTCGACCTCGCCGTACGTCTCTCCCTCATACATCACTCTGCAGCACCCATCGCTCGTCCCTACATCCGTCTCCGCTTGATCGCGCGTCGCCGCCACCCGCGGAGACGCGACGCGTAATCCGCGCGCCAGTCCCGCCGCTCGCGCGCTCGCCGCGCTTCCGTGCGCCCGCCTCGACGCTTCATCGATGAATCCATCGCACTCCGTCTTCGAATCACGCACACCCTCGTCTAACGATCGTGCGAGCGTCCAGAACGCGTCGCGGTCGACGTCCAGCGCGTAGGCGAGCGCCTCGAGCGAGATCGACGTCGAATTCCACCCAGCGCTCAGAGCCACCTCGACGCTTCGCGCGGCGTTCGATTCGCTCACACACGCGGCGCACAACGCAAAAACAAACGCCACGACGCGTCGACGACGCCACATCGCGTCCGAGCGTCCGCGATCGGCGTCACGGAGTGAAGATGTGCGTCAAAAACGACAGACGGAATACTTTTCCCGAAACGAATCCGCACGTCTCGACGCGCGCTCGTCCGCTTCGCGATGCCGCTCGGCGTGAGCGCGTCGACGATCGTGCTCATCGCCGCCGGTGCGCTCGCGCTCGGACCGAGGGACGTGCCGCTCGCGGCGAGGGCGCTCGGAAGGTTGACGGGACGGGCGACCGCGCACGCGTCGAAACTCGCGCGCGCGATCGAACGCGCGACGTCCGACGACGAGCTTCGAGGGATACAGGACGAGATGCGTGAGAGCGTGAAGGACCTGCGAGGGGTGGCGAGGGAGATCGGGCGCGAGTTGAAACCGAGCGGTGGAGAGCGAGGCGCGGGGCGCGGGGCGACGACGGGCGCGCGGACGAGCGCGGCGACGACGACGGTGAAGGAGGCGGTGGAGGCGACGCGGCGCGAGAATGTGATTCCAGTGAGCGCGAGGGAGATCGGACGGGGATCTGGGGGCGGGAGCACGGGCTCGGACGTGCTCGCGGCGATGCACGAGGAACGCGAGCTCGCGTACAAGGCGGCAAAGCTCATGGAGAGCGGCGCCGTGGACGCGTACCTGGCGAGTCGTGAACGCGAGGGCGGGTAAAGATGTCGTCGACGACTCGGACGGTGTAATTCTTTTGTATTAATGGTAGTGACAACGAAACAATTTGCGAAAGATGCGCTCGCCGCGACGATAACCAAACGTCTCTCTGTTGAGAGCTCCGATACCCAAGTCTCCCGAATCAAAGCTTGTTCAGGATGTGTTCGGTGACTTGCTTGCGCGTGTCCTCCGGTGACGTCACGGTGTGACCGATCGTCTTCGGTGACTCGAAGATCTCGTGATCGTTTCCGCCCTTGTACGTCTTGTCGCCGAAGAAGTGAATCTCGTCGAAATCATTCTCCACGAATCTCAGGCAGTACGTCTTATCCCATCCCTGCGGGAAAACGTCAAAGGAGATCTGCCCACCCACGGAGTACGTCAGACCGTAATCTGCGAACTCTTTTCGAAGGGTCTCCACGAATTTCGCTCGAACGCCCGCCTCTTTATCGAACCGCTCGAACTCGTCCCGCTCCTCCTGACTGCAGTTCCTTCCGATCGGCGACACGTTTAACATCCCACTCCTGAACTCGATGAACGTCCCGCGCTTGATCGGAATCTCCAAATCCGCGACGTACCGCAGCACAAAGTTGATGAACTTTTTCAACTTTTCCTCTCCGAGGTGCGTCTTCAGCGACTGCTTCGCCAACAACTCTCCACCCTTGAACGCCACCAACCCGTTCTCGGCGAACAGGTACTCGAACTCTCTCTCCGAGCCCTCACCGAGCTGTTCGGAGATCTTCACCAGGTCCGAGCCGCCGACGATCCCCACGGTGACTTTCGAGCGGAGATCTCTCATGAAGGTCTTCATCGTCTCATCCGCTCGTTTACGCGGCACCGTGAGCGTGCCATCGACGTCAAACAGCGCCAATACTCGCTTCGTCATCGTCTCCGCCCCCGCGTTCTCGTCGCTCTCGCTCTCAGCTCTCGAGGCGGCGTCGAAAGATGGCGTGCGCGGAACCCGGACGGGACGTCCACGTCACTCGCGCGCGCGCCGCCCCACCGCCCCCGTCGCCCGTCGCGCCGCCGTCCACCGCGTCGGCGTCGCGGGCGAGGGCACCCATCGTCCCTCGCGCCCGTCCGTCGCGGTCGTCGATACCGTCGTTCGAGCGATACGAACCGTCCCTCGACCGTCGACCTCGACCGTCGACGCGACGCGCCCATCGCGTTCGGCACCGCGGCGTCGCGCGCGCGCGTCTCGCCCTCGGTCACGCGCGCGCGCGGGCGGGGACGACGGGCGAGACGCGCCCCGCGTCGGCATCGCCGTCGACGGCCGCGCGTCGGCGTCGGCGTCGCCGTCGACGCCGCCGCGGCGTCGGCGCGCGCGTCGGGAGTCTCACATCGCCCCGTGTGGGGTCACACGCGGACCTTTTTGAGGGCGCCGCCGGGGGATCGGGTGTCGCCGCAGATCGGGTTTTTGTCGGACATTTGGCGTGAGTCATGACTCGAGTGGCGGGCACGCCGATTTTTATCGACACCCGAAACGTTCCACATAGCGTCTCGCGCGCTTCAATGGGGCGTTCGACGCACCGGTCGCGCCCGGCGCGACGGGCGACGCGCGCGCGGCGCGCCGCGCGCGCGACGACCGCAGAAGACGTCGCGATCGACATGAGCGTCCAGGAGTACATCGAAAAGCACGACCTCACGCGTAAGGTTGAGGAGGCGCTGAACGCCGCGGTGAAGGCCAAGGCGGATGAACCGCTCGCGTTCGTGGTGCGTGCGCCGATCGCGAGACGCGATCGATGGCGACGAGATGGCGACGGTGGATGTGTGCGCGCGCGCGACGGAAACAGCGCGCGCGGCGCGCGCGCGATGTGAGACATTCGCGTCGTCGAATGGAATTGAATCGATGGGAATATCGCGCCGGTTTTGGGGCGAGCGATGGCGACGGAGGGGGCCTAACGGACGCGCGATCGGGTGAGAGGGAGCTCGATCGCGGGCACTTCGCGGTTTTTTTACCTTTTTGGAGACTTTGAGAGTTTCCGATTGGAATGATCCGTGAGCGCTCGAACGCGGTGGTTTGCGTCGCGTGAAGCGTGCCAAGGGAAGAAAAGAGAGTGATGAAACGACGTCGACGACCGAGAGACTGACGAGCGACGTTTTTCGACGCGACGCAGAGCGAGTACATGAAGAAGCGCACCGCGCCGGCCATCACGAAGGTCGTCGGTCGCCAAATCTTCGACTCCCGCGGTAACCCGACGGTCGAGGCCGACGTGTACACGCACAAGGGTATGTTCCGCGCCATGGTGCCGAGCGGCGCTTCCACCGGTATCTACGAAGCGGTGGAGCTTCGCGACGGTGGCAACACGTACATGGGCAAGGGCGTGCAGCAAGCCGTCAAGAACTTGAACGAAATCATCGCCCCGGCGCTCGTTGGCAAGGACCCGCGCGAGCAAAAGGCACTTGATGACTTCATGTGCAAGGAACTCGACGGCACGGAGAACAAGGGCAAGCTCGGCGCGAACGCCATCCTCGCCGTCTCCATGGCTATCGCCAAGGCGGGCGCCGCCGAAAAGGACGTGCCGCTCTACAAGCACCTCGCCGACCTCGCGGGCAACGGTAAGTTGGTCCTCCCGGTCCCGGCGTTCAACGTCATTAACGGTGGCTCCCACGCCGGTAACAAACTCGCCATGCAAGAGTTTATGATTTTGCCCGTCGGCGCCAAGACCTTCAAGGAAGCCATGCAAATGGGCTCCGAAGTGTACCACAACTTGAAGTCTGTCATCAAGAAGAAGTACGGCCAAGACGCGTGCAACGTCGGTGACGAAGGTGGCTTCGCCCCGAACATTCAAGACAACAAGGAAGGTCTCGACCTCCTCGTTGAAGCGATCGAAAAGGCTGGCTACACCGGCAAGATGAAGATCGGTATGGACGTCGCCGCCTCCGAGTTCCTGACCGAAGACAAGCAATACGACCTTGACTTCAAGACTGAGAACAACGACGGTTCCATGAAGAAGACGGGCGCTCAAATGATCGACTTGTACCAAGAGTTCATCAACGAGTATCCGATGATCTCCATCGAGGATCCGTTCGACCAAGACGACGCTGAAAACACCGCGGCGCTCACCGCCAAGGGCAACTGCCAAATCGTCGGTGACGACTTGTTGGTGACCAACCCGAAGCGCGTGCAAGCCGCCATCGACGGTAAGTGGTGCAACGCCCTCTTGCTCAAGGTGAACCAAATCGGTACCATCTCCGAGTCCATCGAAGCCGTCGGCATGTCCAAGCGCGCCGGTTGGGGTGTGATGGCCTCCCACCGATCCGGCGAGACCGAAGATTGCTTTATCGCTGATCTTGCGGTCGGCTTATCCACTGGCCAAATCAAGACCGGCGCTCCGTGCCGCTCCGAGCGCTTGGCAAAGTACAACCAGCTCCTCCGCATCGAAGAGGAACTCGGCGACGCCGCCGTGTACGCGGGCGAAAACTACAAGCACATTGCTTGGTAGAGCGCCTCTCGCTTCCGTAGATCCCCATGACGCATTCATAACAACATGCATCCGATAGAAATCACCGCGTTCTCATCGTTCGCCCACCCGCCTCCCTCGCCCGCGCGCGTCGCCCGACCCAACCGCCCGCCTCTCCGCTCCTCCCGGAGCCACTTCACCCCCCGCGCGATGGCCCGCCGACGCCTCGACGCGCGTCCGTCTTCGGCCCGACCCCTCGAGCGCGCGCGTTGCGGCCTGTACAACGCATCCAACACATGTTACCTCAACGCCGTGATCCAGGCGCGTCCTCCGCGCAGCGCTCGACGTCGACGCGATCGCGCCCGCTCGCACCGCGCGCGCGTTCGATCGACGCGCGCGCGCGCGACGCGAGAGAAACCATCGCGACGTCCACTGACGACGCCGCGAGTCCGACGCGCGCGCGCAGGCGTTGAGACACAGTCGAGATTTTATTGATTATCTCCTGAGCGACGAGGCGGCGGCGCTGTTTTCGGCGAGAAACGCGACTCTGGGAGCCGACGGGGGGGGCACGCGGCGGTCGTACGCGGCGGAGGATGAAATATTACGATTCCACGACGGTGTGGGGCGGAAACGACGGAAGACGGGGGACGTGGGGGATGGGAGCGAGGCGAGCGGGACGAGCGGGACGAGCGGGCGAAGGCGGTTCGCGATTCGGCCGCCGGCGATGACGAGAGGATCGAGGGCGGACATGGAGAGCGCGGAGGGGTTGGACGTCGGGGCGGAGATACGGAAGGTGATGCGAACGATGATTGAGGGCGAATGTGAGGCGTTTCCGCCGCAGGAATTGTTGCGAAGCGTGTGGAGACTGGTGCCGTCATTCGCCGGGAACGAGCAGCAGGACGCGCACGAGTTCATGCGCTTCTTGTTGGATCGTTTGCGCAAAGAACTGAGCTTGGGGAAATACGCGGTTAGAACGCGTGGTATCGTGACGCCGAGACAGAAGGAACACTCGCCGGGAAACGGTGGGATTCCGCACCCACCCACGCGAGCTCGAAGCGCGCGCAAGCGCAGCGGACGTCTGAGCCCAAGTCCGGGATTCCTGAAGAACGACGGCGACGATGATTTGAACGGAATGAAGACCAACAGCAATAGTGACCACTCGTCCTACGTTGGTATGGCGAATGATGATGATAAAGAGGAGCGGAACGGCGCCGAATCGGGAGAAAATGATGGGTATATCATCATCTCTCGCTGGGGCGCGAAGAAGCACAAGAGAGGCTGTATTTGTCGACCGTGCAAGGCGAAACGTAAGTTGGAGGAGAATGGCGGCGGAAGCGATACGAATGATGGAGAAGAAACCTCGACGATGATGGTCGTCAACACGACTTTGAGTTCTCCCATAGCGAGCACGCTTGTCACTCCGTCTCGTTTGTCTCGAGGGGTGACGGCAAGCGAGGTGAGAGAGAAGCTCGAGGAGTCACAAAAGGACGTCGTCCCTAAGGCTTCTCCGCGATCGCCAACTTTGAACACCGACAAGGAGGATGACAAAATTATGGAATTGTTCGGGGGTTTGGCCGTCACACGAGTCACATGCATGACGTGCGAGCGTTTCACGGAACGTCGAGAACCGTTCATGGATCTTTCTTTACCAATCCCATCCGTGCTAGGTAAAAACGGCTCGGCACCCACAACGCCCGTGTCGCCGTCGAGCGACTTTGTTGACGGTGAGGGTCCGAACGGGGAGGTCACGCTGCAGCAGTGCCTGGCGGCTTTCGTACGAAACGAGACGCTCAGCGGTCACGGTCGTTACTTTTGCGAAGGATGCGGGAAAGTTCAGAGCGCGACTAAGTCCACACGCATCGCAAAACTGCCCCCGATTCTCTGCTTGCACTTGAAAAGATTCACGTGGAAGGGTCATACCACGCGCACCAAGCTCACGAACGATGTAGACTTTCCGTTGGATGACTTAGACTTAGCGCCTTACTGCGAAAGCGATGGAGAAGGGGACAAGAAACAGGAAAAGAAGACTGCGGCGTCCTCGGGTAAGAGTCGCACGCCGCTTCGAGGCGCGAACGCGTCGACGCAGCACACACACAGCGATAAACTGTACGATCTAATCGCCGTCGTAACGCACCACGGCTCGAGCGCGAGTAGCGGCCATTACACCGCTTGCGCTCGAGAGCTCACAGACGATGGAAGCAACGGTTGGCAGCACTTCAACGACGACGAAGTGAACCTACTGACGCCCGAAGAAGTTCGAAGCGGACAAGGATATATCTTCCTGTACGCGCGCAGGCCGACCGAAACGTCGTAGCGATGTTGAATTCGAATGATTTGTGAATACCAAACGCGCGCGCCCGCGACGGCGCTTTCGCACCACCCGTCCCACCCACCACAGCGAGCCGCGCGTCGAGCGATGCCGCGCTCAACGTTCCTGAGCGACCCCGCTCGATGTCGCGCGAACGAATGCGCGTCGTCGTCCTCGGCGTCGACGCGCGCGACGTGTCTCGCGGTCGCACCGTGCGCCGAAGACGTCGTGATTGGATTCGCCGACGGTTCGTTGATGAAATTCTCAAAGCTCGGACGAGTGCTCTGGCGCGCCGTACCGCCCACGGGGTACGTCCGGGAGCGCGATGATGATGATGACGTCGGAGGCGTGGACGCAATCGCGATCTGTGAGACGGCGGACGCGGTCGGGCGGTTCGTAGGAGGGCCGACGCGCGCGGACGTGTTGACGCTGGGCACCGGGACGCCGGTGAAGGAGTTGGCGATGCCGGTGTCGATGCCCGCGGGAGAGGCGTTCGGGTCGAGCGGGAGCGTTGGGTGGTACATCTGGGCGACGACGGCGACGTGTTGGCGGCACACCGGGGATCTGTGGACCGGGAATTCGTCGAGATTGCACGTGTGGCGGGCGGATGGAGACGGACGCCGCTCGGCGTACGTCTCGGCGCCAGATTCGCGAAGGCGCATCGATGGACCCGTGGATGATCCAAAGAGTAGGATGCTGGAGCCAGATTACACACTGGTGCCGTTCGCGAGCGTGAGAGGTCTGGACGGCGGAGATGGAGGGGTGGAGTTTTTAAGCGTGGTCATAAACTTTCACGAACAGAATGCGGTGCTCGAGAGAAGGGCGTACGAGTTCACCGAGCGATTACCGTGTGTCTCGACTTTAGAACTCGAATCTCCGAATACGTATCGACGCGTTAATTTGGGTTGGATACCAAAGTTTGTCGCCATCCGCGACAAGGCGTTCAACAGAGATATGAGAACGATGCCATCGATGGCGACGTGCGTCGACTCGAACCAGTTCTATCTCGTCATTTGGCCCGACGGTGAACAGCCCGTACATGTGATCGACCGCAAAATGGACGCGTCGAATAGTTCTCGAAGATATATGATGGATGCGCTCTCGATGAGCGTATCGTCGTGTATCACGAATCCAGACGCTAGGACAAAACGAACCGTCGTCGACGCGCGAATGCATGACGGCGACGCCGTCGTGGCAATCGTCGTTCGCGACGCGCCAATTCCACAAAAATGGGAGTCGAGCACTCCGCGCGATGAAGATGTGGACTTCAAAATGTTGTTCGTACCCACTGGCTTTCGAGTCGGCGCGAAGTCGCTTTCGTCGATAAAACCAAAGACGGTCCAGTCCGAACCGCTCATCGACTTTGTTGACGTCGCGACATCGGTGCCGCGTTCATCGGAGTCATGTACCATTTGTCTCGACGAGATCGAGAGAGACGGGACCGTTCACGCGCCGTGCTGCAGCGCTTCATTTTGCGAGGAATGTTTGACGGCTTACATTTTGGACAACTCCATGAAAGGTTGTCCGATGTGTCGAAACGTAGAGAATTTCTCGTCTATGCGATCCTTTGCGACTGAGTCTCTGTCGCTCGCATCGCCCGCGTCGTTTGAGGTCGACGCGCCGTTCACTGTACGTCAACAGTTGAAGAGATTTCGCCTAATGGAGCAAGTCGTCGATGGCGATTACGCGGCGCTCGACGAGCATCACATGCGAGGCGACCGTTCGCCGCTCGCCTACGGACGCGGTGTAGTGGTCACGCTCACCAACAACGGTGCGGACGTTCGCGACATCATCTCGCCGAGAGACGACGCGTCGTGCCTACCGAAGATTTAGTAGCGCTAACGTGGACATGTTGCATAACAAAAGCAATCTTTTCCTTCTAATTTATCCGGATCCTCCTTCATCGTCTCACTTCAACTCCGTCGTGTTAAAATCTGGCATGTTCGGTGCCTCCGTCGTCTCCTCCTTGCGCCCACCGCCGAAAATGTTCCCCCAGACGGACCCGCTCTCCTGCTGCGCCTCCTGCGGGATCCCTCCGCTCGGAGCGTCTCCCGGCATCGCCATCACCGGCGGCGGCGGCGGCGGCGCCGTCAACCGCGTCAGCATGATACTTATACCTTCGATAACCGCCAACAGAAACCCCCCGAACGCCGCCGATCTCGCCGCCGACGGCAACCCGTACCGCAGCTGCAACACGCCGCCCGTCGCCGCGCCCGAGATGATCGGGTTCCACGGGTCCTCCTTTCGTCTCACCGCCACCAGCGCGCAATCAAACGCCGAGAACAATCCACCCCACACCGCGAACGAGCCGCCCACGCGCGGCGCCTCGCGCCGGATCGCCTCGAGGCCACCGATCACGGCGAAACCTCTCGGGGAGTTGTACGCACCCTTGACGAGGTTCACGAATCCACCGCCCACGGCGCCCATGGCGAACGCGCCGCCGACGTCGTCGAAGATTCTGTGCGGGCACGGCTCGCGCCCGTGGTCCACGCTCGCCATGTCGCGACGCGCGCGCGGGTGTGACGCGGGCGACCGCGCGGGTGAGGCGCGTTCGAGGGTTTAGACGGATGCATCGACGCATCGACGCATCGACGCCGGCAGAGCGCGACGGCGGGCATCTCTCGGCGCGATGGCGGACGAGGACGCGCGCGAGGGGGTCTCGGACGAGAGCGCGCGGAAGAACGACGCGAAACGGGCGCTGAAGGAGGCGCAGAAGAGATCAAAAAAGCGACCGGATGCTCGAGGGTTGGAACTCATCGAACTCGGGATGCGATCGATGGGACTCAAGGCGTACGACGAAGCGAGAGCGATGTTTGAGGAGGCGGAGAGAGTGTGCGCGAACTCGGACGCGCGCGCTGAGAAGGCGCCGAAGGAGACGAGGGAGGGTGGGAAGGCGAAGGGTGAAAAGGGCGGAAAGGGCGACGCGGGAAAGGAGGAGACGCGAGACGCGCTGGACGCGACGCATCTCCCGGAACCGGGATCCGAGGGGCACATCACGGCGAAAATGAAGGAGAATTTGCCTCCGGGGTCGAAGAACTACGCGGTGAACTCGGTGAAAGCGATGACGGATCACTTGAAGGCGACGGAAGGACGCTGGCGGACGCGGTTTCCGCCAGAGCCGAATGGATATCTGCACATCGGTCACGCCAAGGCGATGTACTTCGATTTCGGCGTCGCGAAACGACACGGAGGGACGACGATTCTGCGCTTTGATGACACGAATCCGGCGGCAGAAAAGCAAGAGTACATCGATAGCATCATCAGTTCGGTGAAGTGGTTGGGACACGAACCTGTGGAGACGACGTACTCGAGCGATTATTTCGACAAGCTGTACGATTTCGCGGTGGAGCTCATCAAGAACGGGAAGGCATACGTTTGCTTTCAGCAGAAGGAAGAGGTAGGCGCTTCGCGCAAGATTATTCAATCGTTCCAAAGGATGTGTGCTGAGGGCAATTTGCCTCGATACGAGACGCCTCTTCCCAAGGGAGCAGAGAGTCCGTGGAGAGAGACCAGCCCGGAGGAGAACTTAGCGCTGTTCGAGAAGATGAAAAATAGAGAGTTCAAGGAGGGTGAGTGTTGCTTGCGCATGAAGGGTGATTTGCGAAGCGATATCCCGAGTATGTGGGATCTCGCGGCGTATCGCATCAAGTACGAGACGCATCCGCACTCGGGCGATAAGTGGTGCATCTATCCGACGTACGATTATACGCATTGTCTTGTGGACAGTTTGGAAAACATAACCCACTCGCTGTGTACACTTGAGTTCGAAACGCGGCAAGCGCCGAACGGGTCGTATTACTGGCTCTTGGATGCGCTCGATGCGTACAAGCCCGTTACGTGGGAGTTCTCTCGATGCAACATCACGTACAACGTGATGAGCAAGCGTAAGCTGAACACCCTCGTCACCAAGGGTTACGTCAACGGATGGGACGATCCTCGTCTGCTCACGCTTGAGGGTCTTCGGCGACGAGGCTACACAGCGCGCGCGGTTAATAGATTCTGCTCCATTCTCGGTGTGACGCGTAACGACAACACTCAGCCCTTGGGCAAACTCGAGGAGGTAATGCGGGACGAGATGAAGGACACGGCGTCGAGGTACTTCGCGGTACTGGATCCGGTAGAGGTGAACATCACGAACCATCCGGGTGGAGAGATCATATGCGAGGCACCGGTGCATCCCTCGTTCCCGGAACGCGGTATGCGCCGAATCAATTTGACGCCGACAATTTTCATCGAGCAGTCGGACTTCAAGACCGAAGATGTGGACGGATATTTCGGATTGGCTCCGGGTAAGAAGATTCGATTGCAGTTCGGATACGACATAACGTGCACCGGTTTCGAGACGAACGAGGATGGATCCGTCAAGAAGATTGATGTTACTATTGACATGGAGTCACGTGCGCAAAAGCCACCCAAGGGTATCCTTCACTGGGCGACGACGGATTTCGTCAAGGGTGAGTGTAGATTGTACGACAAACTCTTCTCGGTGGAGATCCCGGGCAAGGCTGAAGCGTCTGCGGGCGCCGAGGAGTTGGAAAACGCTCCTACGGTTGAGGACGATGATGACGAGGAAGAGGAAGCGGGCGTGGGCTCAGTCGACTGGTTGTCGCAACTCAATCCGAATTCGCTCATCATTCATAAGAACGCGCTTCTCGAGCCATCGCTCGTGCAATTTGCGGCTAAACCGCTCGAAACGCAAGTTCAATTGCAGCGTCTCGGCTTCTTCACTTTCGATAAGGACAGCACGGCTGCGGCACCGGTGATGAACCGAATCGTCACTCTCAAGGAGTCGGCGCTGAAGAAGCAAATCAAGTGATTCAATAGCTCGGGTATTACGTAGATTAATGTCATTACACATTTCTGGGCCCCGGATATTACCTGATACGTTTAATCGAATCGTGATTGCCCGATCCGCGGCGTGCGGGAGCTCACTCGAAGAATTCAGCGTGAATAGCGCGCGCGGCGTCGGCGCCTTGAGAGTCGTTAACTAACAAAGAAATGTTCGTCTTCGATGCGCCCTGGGAGACCATCTTCACCTTGATGTCCTTCGAGCCGAGCGCTCTGAACGCTCGCTCCATGATTTCGTTGTTGCGCTCGACGTTGCCGATGAGTGAAATGATGGAGTGCCCGCTGCTCACGGCGACGTTCGCAATGCCGTCGTTTTCAAAGTCGAGCTTGAGCTTTTCGAGCTCCTCCTTAGCCAAGTCGCGCTCCCAGAGCTTGGACGGGTCGAGCGTGAGCGAGACGCTCACCTCGGACGTGGCGACGACATCGACGGAGATGCCGTTGGTGGCCATGATGTTGAAAACCTTGGCGAGGAAACCGTACTGACCGAGCATACGCGTCGACGTGATGTCGAGCATCGTAACGTTCTTCTTGCGGACGATGGACGTCAACAGCCAATCCTTGTGGAGGTCTTCGGCGCGCTTGTGACCGATGACCGTGCCCGGCGCTCGAATATTATAAGAGTTCTTGACGCGTACGGCGAGCTTGCCCGAATCCATCGCCGGGCGCATGGAGTGCGGATGGAGCACCTGCGCGCCAAAGTACGCGAGCTCCGTCGCCTCCTGGAAACTTAAAAACGGCATCGGAACCGTGTTACTCACCTCTCGCGGATCCGCGGAGAGCACGCCGTCGACGTCTTTCCACACCTGCACCTCCTCGAGCCCCAGCGCCTTGCCGATGACAGTCGCGGTGAGATCGCTCCCGCCTCTACCGAGCGTGCACACCGCCCCCGTCTTGATCCCCCGACCGAGAAAACCGGTGACGACGCGAACGGCCGGTCCTTGTCCCGGACGCGGCGCCAATCGCGCCTGTATCTTCTCGTACGTCTCGTCCAAAACGGCGCCGTTTTCGTACACGTCATCCGTGACGAACATATCGTCGATGGAATCAACCTGCTCCGCCGCCGTGCCCAGAGATCTCAAATACGACGCAAAGATCCTCGTCGACATCCGCTCCCCAAAACTCACCAGAAGCGCCCGCGTCCTCGACGTGCACTCCTGCATCAGCGACACCCCGACGCACACCTGCTCCAGCTTTTTCAACAGCCGTCGCACCTCCTCCGCCGTCGCCGCGTCCGTCCCCAACGCCGCCATCGTCTCCTCGTGCAATCGCCGCACCGCCACGAGCGGTTCCATCGTCTCGATCGTCTCGTGATCCCCATCACACCGCAGCGCGAGCTCACCCGCGCGCAAGAGATCATTCGTCGTCTTCCCCATCGCGCTCAGCACGACCACGGGCGTCTCCTCCGGGAACGACCGCACGATCGCCCCGACCTCGCGCACGCGCGCCGCGTCCGCGAGCGAGCTCCCACCGAACTTCATCACCGTCGTGTGCGCCCAATCGAGGGCGTCGTCGACGCGCCCGTCGACGCCCGTCGCCGTCGCCGTCGCCGTCGTCGCCGTCGCGCGTCGACGCCGCCATCGCCCGAGTCCACGGGCGCGTCCCGAGACCCGGGCGCGCGCGGGCGCGGACGTCGTCGCGGACATCGTCGCCGTCGGCGTCGGGCGCGTCGGCGTCGGGCGCGTCGGCGTCGGGGGTCGGGGGCGTCGGCGTCGACGCGATGTGTATCGTGCGTCTCGCGAGTCGCGAGTCGTGACTCGTGAAAGAGTCCCTCGACCGGGCCATCCAACGGCATCGCCCGACGACGCGCGCGACGATGGGGCGCGCGCGCGATGGACGCCGGGACGCCGCCGACGACGCCGACGACGCCGACGACACGCGCGCGTCGAGCGCGACACGCCCGGGCGCGCGTGCGCACGCTGGAGGAGATTTTACGAACGCTCGGCCAACGCGCGGTACGCTCAGGCGA